TAATATTTTTAGTGTTTTTGATAACTTTATATTATTTCAACAATTATTTGTTTTATATTACCATTTTTATATTTGTTTTATAATAATCATCTTCAAAGCTACCACCTCTGAAGCTTTAAGACAAAGTAATAGAGATGTATATACCGACGTAAAACCTCACATATGCGGAGTGTGTGACAAAACATTTAAGGACAAAAGTAATTTGCATAAGCATGAAATAATTCATACAAGTGATAAACCATTTCAATGCGAAATTTGTGATAAATCATTTAAGTGAGTAACAAAAATCAGAAGAATTAATTAATATTGTAATCTCTGTGTTTAACTTAATTGGTAACAAACGATTAATATTGCAACGATCATTTTTTAGTCGAAAATCGAGTCTAAACGAGCACAAGAAGGTACATATCGAAGTGAAATCTCACAAATGCGGAGTGTGTGGTAAAGCATTTAAAAGAAAAAAAAATTTGCATCGGCATGAAAAAATTCATATAATCGAAAAATATCAATGCGAATTTTGTGATAAATCATTTCAGTGAGTAACAAAAATTAGAAGAATTATTTCATAATGCAATCTCTATGCTTAATTTAATTGGTAACAAATGATTAATATTGTTACCATCATTTTTTAGTGAAGAATCGAATCTAATCTCGCACAGGATGGTACATATCGAAGTGAAATCTCACAAATGCGGAGTGTGTGGCAAAGCATTTAAGAGAAAAAGTGATCTGCATAAGCATGAAAAAATTCATACAGGTGGAAAACCATATCAATGCGAAATTTGTGATAAATCGTTTAAGTGAGTAACAAAAATCAGAAGAATTATTTCATAACGCCATCTCTATGCTTAATTTAATTGGTAACAAATGATTAATATTGTAACCATCATTTCTTAGTAAAAAATGCAATCTAATCTCGCACAGGATGGTACATATCGAAGTGACATCTCACATATGCGGAGTGTGTGGTAAAGCATTTAAGAGGAAAAAAAATTTGCATCAGCATGAAAAAATTCATACTGGCGAAAAACCATATCAATGCGAGGTTTGTGATAAATCATTTAGGTGAGTACTTCAGTGAGTAACAAAAATTAGAAGAATTATTTGATATTACAGTCTCTATGCTTAATTAAATTCGTAACAAATGTTTAATATTGTTACGGTTATTTTTTAGTCAAAAATCGTATCTAGCCAGGCACAAGAGGAGACATAACAATGAAAAACTTTACAAGTGTGCCCAATGTGAGAACTGTTATGCAACAAAACATAGTTTGCGTCGTCATATAAACGTGAAGCACAACGGTGAAAGAACCGTATAAATGTAACGAATATACAACTACATTTATCTATTTTCCATTCCATATTACTCATACAAAAATACACAGAGATGGGGAACTACATCTTTGCGAGGAATGTATGTACCTTCAAATTATCGTTAGTGTCCTTTTCAATTATTTCTCATTTGGTTGTTCTTTTATTTTTACTTTTCTGTACATATAAATATGCTGGATTTTAGGTTTGCGGCATAACTTTCACTTCCAATGATAATCTAAACGTTCTTAAATTTGTACATAGCGATTAAAAGTAGTATGAATGTTGGTGTGTGACAAGAGCTTCCCGCGAAAAGATGATGTTATTACACATATGTTAAATCAGGTCATTCATGAGAAAACGTTTAAATCCATTAATAAATTCTCATTTGTCTTCTTATTTGTGATATATATTGGATTGAAAGAAAAATTCTGCGGTACTTTATTAGCACAAATTGGAAATACAATAGTTTCGTTAAAAATGATGAAAGTTAAAATTTAAAAACGGTTTCAAAGTTTGAAATCTCTACTTTCGAACGATTACTGTATGTTTTAAATTTATGTGGGTTTGTCATTTTTATATATAGAAAGCTATGAGATGAAAGAAAGGGAAATTTATTTCCTCATTTCAAGGGTATGTCACGTGCCAAAAAAATTTGCAAAAATTATGGGTTATATATGTGATGAATATTTGGAATTTTTTCAAAATTGTTAAAAAAAATATTTCTACGATTTTTTGTTCTTGAGTTATTCCCGAATTTAGTAAAAAGGAGCATTCTGAATTTGATTGCTCATAACTACATTAAAAATCTTTATAACGCAATTAATAAAACAGATTCGTAAAGCTGCAATGTTGCTCCATCAAGTGGTATAATTATCAATTTAAAAAATAGAATTCATGCACATTTGAGTAAAAA